AAAAAAAAAAAAAAATGACTCCAGAATTAAATAAGCATGTCCTGGGCTGGGCTAGGTGGCTCAGTCTGTAATTCCAACACTTTGGGAGGACAAGGCGAGTAGATTGCCTGAGCCTGCAGGTTCGAGACCAGCTTGGGCAACTTGGTGACACCTCATCTATACAATAAAAATAAATTAACCGGGCATGATAGTACCCACCTGTGGTTCCAGCTACTTGGAGGGCTGAAGTGGAAGGATCACTGGAGCCCCGCAGGTCCACACTGGGGTGGCCGTGAACGTGCCACTGCACTCCAACCTGGGCGATGGAGTGGATTCCAACTCAAAAAAAAAAAAAAACATGTCCTGGTTTTCTTCAGTACTTTTTCAGAAAGCATTGATCTATCAATCACTTCAGGCAATTCCTTTGCTTTCAGTCAGAGAAATAAGAAAAAATGACCAACCAAGTGACTCAAATAATTTCTACTTCATTTAATCTTTCCTGATGGAACAGATGTTACAGTGAAGAGATTTTTCTGAAATAACAGCATAGACTTAACTTGAATACCTTTTAGGCCAGGGGCAAGTGGTTCATGCTTATAATCCCGGCCCCTTTGGAGGCCCAGGCAGAAGGATCACCTGAGGCCAGGAGTTCAAGATCAGCCTGGGCAACAAAGAGAACCCATGTTACTATAAAAGACATTGTTTTTTTTCATTAGCTGGGTGTGGTGGCTCATGCCTGTCATTCCAGCTACTCAGGAAGGTAAGCCAGGAGGATTGCTTGAGCCCAGTGGTTCAAGGTGGGAGTGAGCTATGTATGATTGCAACACTGCACTCCAGCCTGAGTGATAGAGATCCCATCTCTTAAAAAAAAAAAACAGGAAGATCTTTTAGCAACAAAATGTGACTAATAGAGTGGAATAAAATTAGCCTCAGATGTTTCTCCTCCAGGGTTTGACAGGGGATTACTAGAGATCAAAATGTCTAAACAGATTCTAAGTGAGTGGGATGATGTGAGAGCCCAAGGATAGACTATAAGACTGGCAAAGAATATCTGATAGGGAGCATTACATTTAAAAAGGAGCAACAAAAACAAATGCTGTGAAGTTGACACTGTGACTGAAAGCCTTTCCATGAGAGAAAAACATTCAAAGCATCATGAATTCAAGGCATCTACATCAAACACTCCCGGGGCTCTTGTTCAAGTGACCAAATTACATGGTTTGACATCATCAGTCTTTCAGCCTTTCAATTTCATTATGTTGGTGCATGTCATTGTCTTATTGATAGAAAAAAAATTATATAATGGAAAAATCTAGGCTGTTTTTAATCAGTGGCCACAGCACAAGGAATACAACAACGATCTTTGAAGGAGAGTCATCAAATAGAATACCCTGGGTAACGGTGGTCCACACACAAAAGGCACTTGGATCCAACAGCTACTGAACCTGTGTGACGGTGAGCTCTTTAATAAGGGAATCTCATGTATTTTTAAATGATTACCAAAGATTCTAATTTATCTTTTTCTTTTCTTTGTTTTCGAGTAAGAGTGTCACTCTGTTGTCCAGGCTGGAGTGTGGTGGCATGCTCACAGCCACTGAAGCCTCGACTTGCTGGGCTCAGGCAATCCTTCCATCTCAGTCTTTCAAATAGCTGCAACTACAGATGCATACCACCACACCTGGGTAATTTTTTGATTTATTGTAGAGATGATTTATTTTGATTTTGATTTATTGTATTGCCAAGTTGCCCAGACTGGTCTCAAACCCCTGGACTCAGGCAATCCTAAATGATTACAAAGATTCTACTTTTTCTTTTCTTTTTTTTTTTTTTGAGTTGGAGTCTCACTCAGTCGCCCAGACTAGAGTGCAGTGGCCACTCCTGGCCACCACAGCCTCAACCTGCTGGGCTCCGGTGATCCTTCTTCCTCAGCCTTCCAAGTAGCTGGAACTACAGGTGCGCGCTACCACACCCGGCTAATTTTTCTGATTTATTGTAAAGATGAGGTCTCACCAAGTTGCCCAGGTGGGTCTCGAACCCGCAGGCTCAGGCAATCCACTCACCTCAGCCTCCCAAAGCGCGAGATTACAGGCTGAGCCACGGAGCCCGGCTAGATTCTACTTTTTCTAACTCACAATATCTATGAGAATGAATACTAACATCACCTTCCTCTTTTTTAAAAATGAGGAAAAAACATTATTTGCTCACAAGTAAAAAACATTCATGACCGAGTCAAGAACAGAAAAAAGCCACCATTTCTGGTCAGTCTTCAGGGAAACCCTTTGTTACCCTCATCCCGGCATTTCACAAGACTACTATGTCTCCTTATTTTATAAACATAACTGCTTCACCAGGCTCGGTGGCTCAGCCTGTAATCCCACGCCTTTGGGAGGCTGAGGTGAGTGGATTGCCTGAGCCCGCGGGTTCGAGACCCGCCTGGGCAGCGAGACTTCATCTCTACAATAAATCAAAAAATCAGCCAGGCGTGGTAACGCATACCTGTAATTCCGGCTACTTGGAAGGCTGAGGCGGAAGGATCGCCAGAGTCCAGCAGGCGAGGTTGCGGTGGCCGGGAGCAGCCACTGCACTCCAGTCTGAGCAACAGAGTGAGACTCCAACTCAAAAAAGAATAATAATAAAAATAAAAATAAACATAACTGCTTCTTTGCGCAGACTTGAGTAATTGTAAAATGAACAGCAAACTCATTTTTATCGTTCAATTTTCCCCAACAAACTTCACAATATTAGAATGTTTGAGACGTAATGTTTATTCCAACAGATTATGAGAGTGGAAACAAGTAATTAGTCTTACAATTTGTTGGAAGCACAGCAGAGCTTACTAAAATTTTGAGGAAAAACAACAACAAAGACATTTCAAACAAGAAGGCATCTAGACAAAGGCACAGCACTCCACAACTGCTTCATACTCTGTGCACAGTAAGTCCTCTCAGGACAGGGGAGAGGAGATGCCAACTGAGGCTTGCATTAGAAGCTGCGTCTAATACCACTGAGATCATTCTGTCTCACAACAAAAGGCTCTATAAACACTCCTCTGAGAAAAAAGTGCAACCCAAAATCTGTCTTACCAAGTAAAGTAAAAGTGGCAATAAAGGCCCATAGGAATATGCACAGTGCAAATACACTATTTCACCCTTAGTACAAAACGTTTCTGACTGGAGTATGAACTTTCAAGTTGAAGATGTATTTCGCAGCGATGTTCACCCAAAGCTTGAGAGCTAGAGCAAAGAGAGACTTGCAGTTGATAACTAAGTGGATGAGATCCCTAATATTTCACTAGGTGACAATAATTCCCTTTGGGAAGAAGTGGTTTATTTTTAATTATTCCACTTTTTGTTATATGGGCGATGCTTTTAAACAGTACTGTCTCAATACTCGCTACTGAGCTGAGCAATGTCAGATGATGGCAGCCTGTCAAAGACACTCCCAGCAGGTAAGTGAAGCTGCTTTCAGGAGCATGTAGCTGAGCTGTCTTACAGTCTTTTGACATTAACCATAAAAAACTGGGTTTAAATGATTATGTATTATCCCTTCTCAAATAAAGTCACATTAGAGGAATTCTTTTTAAAAGAGGCTTTCAAACTAGTCCTTCAGGCATTTAAAAAATCTTCATATAAAAGTCCGCTTCTTAGCCGGGCTCGGTGGCTCAGCCTGTAATCCCGTGCCTTTGGGAGGCTGAGGTGAGTGGATTGCCTGAGCCCGCGGGTTCGAGACCCGCCTGGGTAGGCGAGACCTCATCTCTACAATAAATCAAAAAATCAGCCGGGCGTGGTAGTGCGCGCCTGTAATTCCGGCTACTCGGAAGGCTGAGGCGGAAGGATCGCCGGAGCCCAGCGGGTCGAGGCTGCGGTGGCCGGGAGCGGCCACTGCACTCCAGTCTGGGCGACAGAGTGAGACTCCAACTCAAAAAAAAAAAAAAAAAAAGTCCGCTTCTTTAAGACATAAGAACAAAACACTTTTCCTTTAAAAGAAAAAACTTATTTTTAGGACAAAATAAATTACAACTTGCTGACATACTTTTTTTTATGGCTCAGTGCTTATTCCAGATATACGGAGCTATATTTTTTTGCACATTTTCAGAAATCAGAGATACTGAAAGAGTAGTTAGCTCTAAAATGTCATGATGATACAACCCTGGCTCAGGGAACAGATCAAGTTCTAAATCTCAGGAATAAAAAAACTGATACTCATCATCCAATCTAAATAGTCTTATATTATATACATATTAACAGTCTAGTCAATGAAATATAAAGGACAGAAATCTCAAATCTCAGAGCATAAAAATGTAAAGAAACAAAATGTTGAATGCACAATCTATTCCACTTGGCAATGTGTATTAAGAGATAAAAACATGTCTACAAATAGAATATAACAAAACAAAAATGTGACATAAGCAGCAATCTCAGGTCCATAGCTCTTCAGTTCTTCCAAATTTGTAGATCAGAGTGCTAGAAAGAGATGAAAACAAATCATGAGGAAAAACAGATGAAACAAGCAACATAGAACTTGTTTTCTAAATATGCTTTGGTACTTCACTGATCCCTTTTTATCCATTTGTTTTCTTTCTTTTTTTATTTTTATTTTTTTGAGTCGGAGTCTCACTCTGTTGCCCAGGCTGGAGGGCAGTAGCATGCTCATGGCCACCCCAGCGTCGACCTGCTGGGCTCCGGCAATCCTTCCACTGCAGCCTTCCAAGTAGCTGGAACTACAGGTGCGTGCTATCAAACCCGGCTAATTTTCTGTTTATTGTAGAGATGAGGTCTTGCCAAGTTGCCCAGGCTGGTCTCGAGCCTGTGGGCTCAGGCAATCCCCTCACCTTGGCCTCCCAAAGTGCTGGGATTACAGGCTTGAGCCACCACGCCCGGTTCCTCTTTTTTAATTTTAATTTTTATTATTTTTATTTTATAGAGATGAGGTCTCACTATGTTGTCCAGGCTGGTCTCAAATTTCTGGGCTCAAGCAATCCTATCTTAGCCTCTCAAGTTTCGGGATTACAGGCATAAGCCACTGAGCCTGGCCCCTTTGTATCAATTTCTACATCGTGGTGGTGAAGTGCTGGGATGTGACGGTGAGTCAAATGGACAAATCCGCTTCTTAATGAAACTAAGGGTCTAATGAGAAGACAAATAAATGTAAAATCCCAACTATAAAAAAATGTTATAAAAGAGGGGCACATGGTATCATAAGAGTGAAATATAAGGATCTGACCTAGTTAGAGAGATCACGAAAGATTTTCCTGAGGAGTGGCAGCTGAACCAAGATCCAAAGGGGGTGAGGAGGCAGGAGCAGAGAGATGGACACTCTCAGACCATGAGCTGAGCTGTGGGCATGTTGAATGTGCTGGATTTGAAAAGTCAGCAACCCAAGAAGGGATGGTAAGTAGGAATCTGGAAAGACACATCTGTGACTCATCTACATACAAGCAGTAATTGGAGACCTAAGCATAACTGACCTCACCTAGAGACAGAAAAACAAGAAGTTTCTTAAGGCCTAGAACAGATAGTGCCTTAAGGAACTTCAAAAGGTGGTAGGACAGGGAGTTGAGGAGCAGCTTGCAAAGGAATCAGAGGAGTGGCCAGAGATGTTGAAGAGGCTGCCCTCGGTGCTAAGATGAGCCCCAGACACAGGAAGCACCCAGGTCAACCTGAGAACTTGCCAGCCTCTTGGCAGAATGCACAGTTCATACAGCAGTTACTGTCCACCTGAGCACAGGCTTAATGCAAACAAGGGTTGTGTGCACTACAAAGTACTCAATCTAAATTAAATGTAATCCCTAAATATTGCCTAAAATGTCTTCATGAAAACAAACTGTATCCCCAAAAGGCTATTAGTCACATGGCAAGAAATACAATCACAAGATAGCAGAAACTGCTGGGTGCAGAGGCTCACACCTGTAATTCTAGCACTTTGGGAGGAGGAGGCAAGAGGACTGCCTGAGCCCAGAGGTTTGAGACCAGCGCAGGCAAGTTGGTGAGACCCCATCTCTACAATAAAATTTTTTTAAAAAGTCAGGTGTGGTAGCACGTGCCTGTAGTTCCAGCTACTTGGAAGGCTGAGGTAGAAGGATTGCCTGAGCCCAGAAGGTTGATGCTGGGGTGGTTGTGAGTATGCCACTGCACTCCAGCCTGGGCGACAGAGTAAGACTCCAAGTTAAAAATAAAATTTTTAAAAATTAAAATTAATTAATTAATTAATTAATTAGCCAGACATGGTGGTACATGCCTGTAGTTCTAGCTACTTGGAAGGCTGAGGAGGAAAGATCGCCTGAGCCCAACAGGTTGAGGCTGTGGTAGTCATGAGCATGCCGTTGCACTCTGGCCTGGGCGAAAATGAGACTCCAACTCAAAAAAAAAAAAAAGAAAAGAAAAAAACTCCCCAGTGCTAGCATCACTGCCTCAGCTCCACCTCAGCTAAAAAAATTTTAAAAAATGATGGCAGAAACTGCCAAATATCTCTCAAAACCAGGAACGTCAAGGCCAGGGTACAATAAGAGGAAACCCAGGCAGAGCATGGCTGTCTCTCAAAAGTTCAGAGAGACCAAAGTGGCTAGAGTTTGCAAGGCAGAGAGTACAGAGAGCCACACAGAGGGCGCCCAGGATATCTGCAGGAGGTGCTTCTCAAGTCTTCAACTGAGTACTGATCAGTCTATGTCTATGAGGAAACACCCAAGAAAAGAACCACTCGAAAGAATAGTTCCCAGAACTCCCACAAGGCTAGAAAGACTTCACATTCCACAAGCAGAGCAGAGAAACCTCAGAATCCATAGGGTATCAGAGCACTGGGAAGAACACTCAGAGGAAATGAATGCCTTAAAGGGGACAAATTAGTCCTAGGCTAAAGCTATTCTGGTGGTGCCTAACAGAGCTTAAAAGCAAGATTCTAAAGGAACAACCTGTCTCCAAATGCCCTAATTGCATCCCAGAACAAAGTTCAAGAACATTTAAAGGAATACCAAAAACTCCAGCCCCAACAAACTACATGTAAAGCAGCAAAAAAGGGAGATGAGATACAAAGCGAAGAGCAAATTGAAGCAGAAATAATCCATAAAGCAAGCAGGGCTCAGTGGCTCAGCCTGTAATCCCGCACCTTTGGGAGGCTGAGGTGAATGAATTGCCTGAGCCCGCAGGTTTGAGACCCACCTGGGCAACTTGGCAAGACCGCATCTCTACAATAAATCAAAAATTAGCTGGGCGTGGTAGCACACGCCTGTAGTTTCAGCTACTTGGAAGGCTGAGGCGGAAGGATCGCCGGAGCCCAGGAGGTCGAGGCTGCGGTGGCCAGGAGCGGCCACTGCACTCCAGTCTGGGCAACAGAGTGAGACTCCAACTCAAAAACAATAAAAATAAAAATTAATTCATTAAAAAAATATCCATAAAGCAGGCCCAGAAATCACACAGATAAGTGGACAAGGACACTGAAATAGCTATAAACATACTCTGGATGTTCGGGAAGGTAGAGGAAAGCAAGAAAATGTTAAGCGTGAGACATGGAAAATAGAAAAAAGACCTGTAGCCCACAAAACCATAATAAAAAATATTGATTTAATAAAAATTAAAAAAAGAAAAAAGACCCAAATCAAACATCTAGAGATGAAAACACACTGGCTGGGATTAATAGTAGATAAGACACTAAAGAAGTAGAGATCAGTGAAATTAAAGATATAACAACATGGGCGCAGTGGCTCACACCTATAATCCCAGTACTTTGGGTAGCCGAGGTGAGAGGACTGTCTGAGTCCAGTGTTCGAGACCAGCCTGGGCAACTTGGGGAGACCTCATCTTCACAATAAATCAAAAAATTAGCTGGGCATGGTGGCACACGCCTGTAGTTCCAGCTACCTGGAAGGCAGAGGTGAAGGATCACCTAAATCCAGCAGGTAGAGGCTGCGGTGGCCATGAGCGTGCCACTCCACTCCAGCCTGGGTGATAGAGTGAGACTATGACTTAAAAAAAAAAAGATATAACAATAGAAACCATCCAAACTGAAGCACAGAGAAAAAAAAAGACAGGAACAAAACATTTCCAAAAAAAGAACTGGGCATTAGTGAGCTGTGGGACATCTCTGAGCAGCCTACTACATATGTAATTGGGATCCCAGGAGAAAGCCGAGGCAGACAGAAAAAATATTTGAAGAAATAATGACTAAAGAGAGTCCAAATCTGATGACAACTATAAACTCATAGGTCTAAAAAGCGCAATAAGCACCAAACAGAAGAAATATGAAGGAAACTACACCACAGCACACCATCATCAAATCATTTAAAACCAATGACAGAAAAGTTTTTCAAGGCTTAGATCTTAATGATTTGGAGGAAGAGGAGCAGATATAATTTTATAAATGAATACCTAAAACACCTATGTTGACATTAAAAGATAGTCATTTTGAAGAGCATAGGATACAAGCTTCATTTGGGGAGCTTTTCAGAAGACTATCCCTAAAAAAATACACTTAATATTGTTTTATTTTTATACTTAAAGTTACTTTAAAAACTCAATCAGAAAACCCAACCCCCCTGCACATTCTATGTATAACATGCACACTATGTTAAAAAAATAAAGGTATTATACCTGATTTTTATTTTTTATTTTAAAGATGTGGGGTACAATTCAGGGTTAGGTAAACAAATGCTCATTATGCAGGTACCCTTGTTGAGGAGGTGTGCCCCTCCCTCCCTGATATATATATATATTTTTTGAGTTGGAGTTTCACTCAGTCACCCAGACTGGAGTGCAGTGGCACGCTCCTGGCCACCGCAGCTTCAACCTGCTGGGCCCCGGCGATCCTTCCGCCTCAGCCTTCCAGGCGGCTGGAACTACAGGCATGCGCTACCACGCCCAGCTAGATTTTTTAAAAAATTTATTGTAGAGACGAGGTCTCGCCAAGTTGCCCAGGCGGGTCTCGAACCCGTGGGCTCAGGCAATCCACTTGCCTCAGCCTCCCAAAGTGCTGGGATTACAGGCTGAGTCACCGAGCCCAGCGATTTTTTTTTTTAAAAAAAGCATAGGCTATGGAAGCAGCAGTCTGGGTTAAATCCCAGCTCTGCATTTACTAGCTACGTAACCCAAAGCAAGTTTGGAGCTTTATTTCCTCATCTATAAAATGAGAATAACATCTGACATACACTTAAGATAATTAAACGAGAATTTAAAAGGTAACATAAATAGCCAGGTATGGTGGCTCACACCTGTAATCCCAGCACTCTGAAAGGCTGAAGTGAGGCGTCCGAGCCCAGGAGTTAGAGACAGCCTGGGCAACATGGTGAGACCTCATTTCTGTAACAAAATAAAAACTGGCCAGGTATTATGGTATGCGCCTGTAGTCCTAGTTACTTGGAGGCTAAGGCAGAAGGACTGCCTGAGCCCAGCAGTTTGAGGCTGTGGTAGCCATGATCATGCCACTGCACTCCAGCCTGAGTCACAGAGTGAGACTTTGACTCGAAAAAAAGGTA